ACTCGGTATAAACTTAAAAACCCTTTGCCAACTCACTATTTACACAAACACAATGCTCTGGAAGTCAAACAAAAAAAAAACAAAGCACACACTGTTTGGAGGTTCTACTGCATGCAAGCGACCGCATCAGTCCTGTCCAGAGCACTCCCTCATGTTCCGGTTCAGATAAATGACCATGTTGAGGTGCGAGGGGTGCAAGCTTGTGCACAGTCGCATGAAGTCCAGTCCGGCGGTCGAGAAAATCTTGTCGGCCGGTGAAGACGTAGCCGGCAGGCAAAGCACTTGCTTTGCCACACGGCTGAGGTAGGGCAGGCGGCTCTGGTTGTCTCGCCACCACACGAGTGGGTTCACCCCGCGCGGCGTCTGTTTCTCGTTGAAGTACTGCTCCGCCTCCTTGTACACGATCGCTTCGATGTCGCTGGATCCCACCACCGCCACCTCCATGTCGTCGGCGAAATCTGAGAATCCGGCGAACAGCTGGTCGAGGCCTGACACGTGGATGATGGTGGGCTTGACGACCGACGGATCCCGGTTGGCGGACGGATCCTGGCGGTTGAAGTCAATGGCCTTGGCGAGGACGTGGCTTCTGACGGCATCCGCGTCCGGCCCCGAGAGGAACTTGAGGCCGCGGAAGCGCGGGTCAAGCGCCGCGGCGTACAGTAAGAAGTCGACATGGGGTGCCGTCGGGAACTTCCAGCGCTCCTCCAGCTGCCACTTGACGCGCTCTTTCAGCTGCTGGATGTGGGGCGAGTCCACCACCTCGACGCCATCCAACGTGTAGTGCACGGCCTCCAGCGCGCGGATCAGCCCCTTGACCAGGACGGGAACGGTGGAGGCGGACACGTGCGTCTCAGAGCCCAGAAAGGCCGTGGCGTGCACAAATGGCTCCAGCAGCGTCTTCAGCTCCATGAGCATGTCCCACTGCTGGGGCATCACCAGTTCCATGGGCGCGCTCGGCCATGACGGCATTACTGCCATGTCACCCAGCACGGCCGCGATGGGCACGCGCAGCTCCAGCAGCCGGTCAATCATGTCGAAGGTGGTGTTCCAGCGTGAGGGCGTGTCCACCACCAGCGGGCACTCGATGATGTTGTACTCCTTCTCACGCACGCTCAGCTGGCTCAGAGCAAACTCGCTCTTGCGGAAGTACTCCACCAGCTGGCGTGCTACGTCGACCGCGCGGTCCAGCGCCGGCAGCTTGGAGATGCCGTGGTCCTTGACGATGAGCTGCAGGCTGTGGGCAGCGCATTGCACGGGCTTCCAGCTGTACGCCTCCTCCAGCAGCCTGGCAGCGGCTGACATGTTCTCGCCGGTGTCGTGCACCATCGACACGATCTTGGCGGGCTCCACCTCGAAGCGCTGCAGCGCATCCTCAATCCACTGGCGGATCACAATGGGTGTGTGGCTCTCCAGCACGTTGGTGCTCTCCAGAAGGAAGTTTCGCAGCTGCCAGTCCTCGTCGATGAAATGCACCGAAACGGACATGTAGGCGTCAACTGCAGCGCTGTTCCACACGTCGCAGCTCAGCGACAAGCCTGACGCCTTCTTGAGCTCGGCAATGCACTGCTGCTTCACCTCGCTATACTTCTCTTCCAGCATCTTTTCAAAGTAGACCACGGAGGGGACCGAGTAGCCGGGCTCCAAGAATGAAAGAAACTCCCTGAAAGCCACCCCATTCACGAGATCCAGTGGACGGAGGTCCTTCACGATAACCTGCAGCAGGAGGCCTGTGATGGACCGGGCCCGGTCTTGGGCACAGCGACGTCTTCGGACCTTAGGGATGGTCAGCTTAATCTCCTTTTTGATCCTGAAATTAAGAGCGGGCAAGACAGTTACTCATTCTGCACTTCCGATCTACAGGCAAATTTAGTGTGATAAAACTGCTGCATGAAATCCGAAAAGTAGATCAACAATGCAGTAACCTCTAAAATGACAGTTACTGTCCAGCTAAAGTTATAGAATGGCTGAAAAATAAGCACCTTTGAAAAATGTTGTAGCAGAAATACAAAAAGTGAAAAAGTCAAATGGCGGGGGCCACTCATCTCAGTTGATAACCCCAAGCCACGCATTAATTCTACATTCCCCATGGTAGAGGTTAATCTCATGACAGGACAACTACTGTTAACTTCACAACAAGAGGATGGCCTCAGTTGGCCTAAAGCCAGGTTTTAAACTTCAAGTCATTAGAATTGCGAATTGAATGCCTAGGTTTTAATTAAATAAACACAATTTAACAATGCATGAGGCCTAATTTGATTATGCAAGTGGTGACCACTTTAAAACACGATCTAAAACCCGAGCCCTGGCAGGTGCGTCATCAGAGAGGTTGGCAGTATCAAAACGCGCACGATCAAAGATAATGAACTCGTGAGTGCATGAGTGCTTTCTTACCGGACATCGGTAGTGTCGCGATGGCTGTCCTCCAGCGACAACATGTTGGGATGCTTTCTGTTCAGGTGTTTGTTCATCATGGTGGTAGACTTGTGATAGGTGAGCGTCAGCAGACAGGTCTTGCACTGCACTTGCTTTCTTCCCTCCATCATTGTAAAGTAATCCCAACATTTGGAATGTTTAACGCGGCCCGGCGTATGGGACTCGTTGCTGGGCGTGCAGGTCATGCTGTCAAATCAAATTGAGGCTTGTAAGGAAAGGGTCAGTATTGAGAAAAGCCAACATTGTTTCTGCAACACGTTCATCAATTGCAACATTACATGAACATCACCCATTATTACAAATTTACTCTGGTATACAAAGGAACGATGCATCTAGGAAGTAACCGACTATAAAAAAATAGTTAATCAGTCATGAACTGAATTAAGGCCTCCCCACGACGTGTTGGTCGTGGAGGTTTTTTGACCATACTTCACCACATCACGCTGGTCAATGCGGGTTGGTGAAGGGTAGGCCACAAACCGATTTGGATATCACTCAACACTGACATTACATTAGTGCCCGGTAATTGAACTATACAATATTAAATGACAAACAGAGAAGCTACCCCGGGGCACGTGGTGCTGTTTGTAAAGATTTAATTGTGTGTCAAATGTTTCTCATAAATGCAATGTTTCAGACACATTGGTTCCGATATATACCATTAACAGCAGTTGTCAAACAAAAAGCCACAAACCAATTGTCTTCAATGGTTTAGATAAAGGACAATGGTAACAATTAATCTTTATTGGTGAAAAACCAAAGCCAAAGTAATCTTACTATATTAAACTAAATACGAATTATAAAACAAATATTCCAAACAAGTTTTTGACGCTTACGAATACTCAAAACACACAATGCAAAAAATAGCTTCTAATGCACCACTTCCAAGGTTGAGCTTATTAAATGACAAATCAGAATCAATCCCTTTTCCATATGTTGGACAGTTTTCACAGGCACTTTAATGTATGGAAATCCAAATCCACTGAGATACAATATTAACAATTATAAAGATTTACAAAACAAAAAATCCTTATGGAAATGTTCTGAAATACGAGCACATCATTCGAGTCCCCATAGATTAAACCCGTACAGGCAGAACTGGTAATGAAACTATAAAACCAGTTATATTGGGTCCAAGGAACGCATCAAGTGCACTGGAAAGCACCAGACACCACCATCACCATCACAAAAATCCATTAACCCGCGCAGTTTCCATATGACAATGCTTCACTTTTTCGAGGTACTTTACTACGCAATTACGCTCACCGTACTATACGCGCATGCACACACAACACAATACATGCTAACCAAGGAAGAAACAATGTTGCGGAGGCGGTCAGAGGCACACAGGCATTGCCTACGTGGACCAAGAGTATCCGGAAAACGAGGAAAAAAACTCAAATTACAGACAAAGCCCAAGAGGGCCTCTTATGGCAGAACTTCCCCGTATGAAGTGAAATGGACTCACTCGTTTAGAACACGACTGTGATGAGTATTTAATACTGTAGTGTATGCACCCCAAGTCACACGTGAAATAGATTTTCATCCGAATGTGTTCTGGCTTTGTTATAAAGATCCCTCTGCATGTAGCTGGACAGAGATCAATTACAACTCCAGTACTGCAAGACTAATAACAGAACCCATTCAATTTCACTAGAATTCACGGGAACATTGATCCATGTTTACATTATTTTCACAGCTTCAATCTTAAATTCATGCCCATATAACCTGTAATATACATATGGTATATACAAAGAGATAGGTGAACGATCGACGGTTAAACAGACAACCGGTGATCAGTACTGCGTCTCCACTTATTGTTCGAGCAAAAAGCGCGGCCATTTCCGCCATTTGCACTCGAATAAAACGAGGACCTCTAAACCCCGGGCGGGAGGGGTGACAGCTCCCAGGTTAGCTCTTGGACTCTTATTAAAGGGGATACTCGAGGGGTCTTGGGCTCTCCATGGGTGTCTGGGGTTCGCGCTCTCGCTTTGAAACCTGGGCCTACAAGTGGGGGACCCGGGTCAACGGGATTTATCTGGATACCGGGTCCCAAATCACGGGGCCTCAGGGACGGGGCCACGGGGTCTCGCCCCGGGGATTGTGGCTCCTAAACCTCTTGGGTTTACGATCCTGGGGGGTTCCCAGTTCCCTGGGGGGTTCCCGGTCCTGAATTCTCATGACGAGGCAAAACTCGCGCGGCCCAACGAGTCGGCAGCTCAGGTATTTGGTGCAAATATACGGGCGGCGCGGATTAAAACACGACGGAAATTATCAGAAAAACGACGAGAGTCGAAGAGGAAATCGTAAACGAGCAAGACACGAGACATGCGCGGGGAGACCACGGGGAGGGATGGAGGGATGGAGGGAGGCTTCGCGGCCCGCGCAAGGCCCCGGGTTCGCGCCCTGGGCCTGACCACGTCCAGGCGAGCGCAGGCCTCGCAGGGGGCCCTCGTCCCGTTGCCTCGCCTCAACAACGAAACCGGGGCCCCGCAATTTTAAAAAAAAAACGACAGCGCGCGATGTTGCTATTTACTTAGAACCCCGATAGAAAGAGAGACACTTACTCTGCCGAGGCCATGACGAGCACGAAGAGACGTCGAGTGATTAAGAAGTGGATCGCACGAATCGAGCTCCGTCTGCCAGAGGCTCGACGACGGCGGCGATGGCGGAGGGCGGGAAGCGCGATGACGTCACCGAGAGGTGTGACGTAACGACGCGCCGCGCCCAACTGCGTCAGACGCGGGTCCTTACGTCTCCGCGTCGGGCCGTGACGTCACGGCGTACGGCCGGGAATTGCTTGGGCGAGCGGGCGTGACGTCACGACGTCGCGTGGCACAGCACGTGCACGTCGCGGCGTGACGTCACGACGCAAAGTCGAGGCGGGTCACGCCTCGGCACCCGCGCGCGGTCGTGACGTCGTCACGTTGGCCCTGACGTCATTACGCAACGACGGAGATAGAGCCAACGATTGTTGTATAACGATTCAAAACTACAAAGAATCGATTCGCGAATCTAAGCTGATGCGATCCACCACATCTCCTATAATCAATAACGAATCGATTCTACGCGCGTGATCAATGGCAGGACCGGCCGTGGTCTATCCGCTGCTGGGTGGTGCATACGCGGCGGCCAGGCGACGTCACGGCCGCGAGCGAGAAAATGGCCGATGGACGAGACTCACGAAATGGCAGCCGAGGGCGGAGATGGAGCGAGGAGATCAGACAACGCGATGAGATCATCGTAGAACTATCTTTTATGTAATCCCCCCCCCTGTTGGTGGAGCGCCACGGTGGCGAAATGTTGACTACCTCGCCAGGTATACGGGAGGTCGTGGGCTCCGACCCTGTGACGCCTGCTGCCGCTGATGTGTATGTGGAGTTTGCGAGTTTCTCTCCCCCCGTGGTCGCGAGTTTCTCTCTCCCCGTGGTCGCGAGTTTCTCTCTCCACGTGGTCGCGAGTTTCTCTCTCCACGTGGTCGCGAGTTTCTCTCTCCACGTGGTCGCGAGTTTTTCTCTCCACGTGGTCGCGAGTTTCTCTCTCCCCGTGGTCGCGAGTTTCTCTCTCCCCGTGGTCGCGAGTTTCTCTCTCCCCGTGGTCGCGAGTTTCTCTCTCCCCGTGGTCGCGAGTTTCTCTCTCCACGTGGTCGCGTGGATTTCTCCCCGGGTCCTCCGGGTTGTCTCTCCACTTAGAATCGTGTTGAGAGTATTTGGCCGCTGTACATTTCCACATGATACGCCACTGCGTTGAGCTATCATCTGTGACCGGGTCGCTTCTGAAAAAGAGCTAAAAAGCTCAGTGGGTTGAGTGTAAAGTGCAGTCTCCAAACACATATCTTCTCTGGCCTTTATATGTGTGTGCTATGGAGAAGGGGCATTGCCCGAAACGTCGTTGGTGTATATTTGTTTCGGTTTGAGGCCACGCACCGGTGTTGACGAATGCAAAGTCACGCAAGTCACCGAAAGAACCAAGAAGATGAATCCCTGCAGTCACGAAAGCTTTAAATGGAAAGTTGACGAATGTGTTGATGGGTTTTTGTGTGAGATGGGTCGTGGCGTTGTTGGACTGCGAGAGATGGTGAAGGCTTCGGGAAACATTAATTCAGCAGTAGATTGACCATGGCTGCTGATGAGACAGTCACTGGCAATTAAATGTCTCAAAGCTTAAGAAACTACTTAAATCAGATTACATTTAAAATAGTATTGAACAAAACATTGGTCTATTATGTATTAAGGTGGGGGTGGGCGGATTTGTCAAAACAAGGTTGTACCATATAGCATGCTCTTGGGCATGATTAAGGCTTCCCCAAGCCGTTGCCAGCTGTCACTGCCGACACGAAGACACTGGGCTGTCGCCTGCCCATGAACTGATCTTAATCGCCCCATCATTGCGGTGGACGGCCTGTGGTTGTATTTCCACCTTTGGCTCTCATTCTGAAACCAACCTCGACCATTGTGGCCTTCATCCCGTCTCGCGACGCTGGGTGTTCTCTTGCTGTGGTCTGGGACTGTTTAGTTTTTGCTGCCTTATCCAATCTCCATAAATGGCTTCTATGATGTATCATTTATTGATATTGCGTAACTTGCTTACCATTTTCTCTATTGCACTCATTTTGTGTTGTGTGCCGTGTTTTGTAGTGTTTGCTGTTGTAACTTGCTGACCCGCCCATACTTGACATCTATGAAAAAGAGCTTCATAGCTCATCGGATTTCTCCCGCAGTCTAAATACAGTGATGTCCAGGGCCGTCCATAGTGGGGTACGGGGCCTGGGGCAAATCCCACGCTGTGGGGGACCCCGACGGCTCCAAACTCTGAACACCGGGCGGTCACTCACCGTACCCAAAGGACACCCCTCGGGTCATGTCCAAGCCCATTTGCTAACCTGAATAGTCAACACGATGTCTCCGATTTCAATTGGATTTTTTTTTATTGCAAATATTTGGAGAAAATACAGGGTGCTTAAAAAAAATCTTCACACTTCTGAGAATTTTGCAACAATACCACAAGAAATGCTCCTCCGGGCTCTGGAGACCACCTGGAGAAGATTCCAGGCATGCGTTGACAATGATGGCAAACGAGTGGAGACTGAATTTTTAGATATATTAACATAGATTTGTTATGTTACAGTGTATTATCCGTTATTTTTCCATTAAAAACGATAGTTGTACGGAAGTGTAAAATAATTTTGAAGCACCTTGTATTATTCACCACCTCTAATTGTGCTGCTGAAGAGCCAAACAGCTGATGGAAAATAACTACAGGAAATGGTTAAAGTATTTCATTTATTGTGCTCAAAATAAATGATTGCAACAAAAGTAATTCCCAAGCCTCGGACAACTTTACAATCTGTAAGGCTTAGAATACACATGGTGCCAATTATACAAGACTTAAACTCAAGACTTTATTCGAGCTTGTAAGGCCCACTGAGCTAAGCAGGTCTTGTATAAGGACAACCACAGCCCAAACCCGTGGGCAGTCATGAAAGTTAAAATACATTGCAGGGAGGGAAATGTTCAAACAAACACGAGCACAAACAACAATTGCATGAAACTTGCCAAAACAAACAGCGAAACAAGTGAAGATACCGTATTCCAGGAACACACCTGGTAAACACATCGTAAAATAATACGTATAGCTCGGGCAATTATAGGAACAGAATCCAAATTAAATCAGAAAACACAAACTTGTAACACAATCTGAAGAGTGCATGGGACAGTCCACTCTTGAATTAGACGACGAAACAGAGGAACGCGTGGATTGAGATTTAGTTTTGATTTCTGCAGGAAGGGTCCAATGAGCTGTTAGACTATTTCACGGGCGTCCTTTGACGGTACAGATGCTATACAGTACAGATCTCAATTACAATCACGGGATCAGAGAACAGATGCAAACTAGAGGCATAAACTGTTAAGAAAAGTAAGTTGGCTTGAGCAGAACGGAAAAAGAGGTCAATGATCCTGAAAAGATCTGGCCATAGACCCATAGGTTAGCTGCTCCGGCGGACGAGGCTGCGTTGGCTGGGTCACGTAGCCCGCATGCCCAGCCACCGCATGCCCAGCCACCGCATGCCCAGCCACCGCATGCCCAGCCACCGCATGCCCAGCCACCGCATGCCCAGCCACCGCATGCCCAGCCACCGCATGCCCAAGCAGCTTCTGTTTGGCCGGTGGCTAAACGGGCACAGCAGCATGGGCTGCAGAAGAGAGGAGCTGATTTGATTACAGAAGGAATCGGTGGCGAATCCGGGGGGACGGGTGGCTATGTTAATCGCCCCTCGCCCTGTGAGACCCCGAAAATGGGTATTTACCAGCTCAATTTAAAGTAGGGAGTTATTTTAAAAAGCTTGAAATTCCAGTACCCCCCCCTCTTCGAAAGTTTATTTTAGTTTTGCCTCTGGTAGGACTGGGAGCTGATTGGACTTGGTAATGACTGGCACCAGTGGTGCCAATAAAGATCGCTCTCTGTGTAAAGAGGCACCTGAACTGCCTCTCCACAACAATAGGTGGCGGTGGAGTGACACACTGCACACAGAGCGCCCTGGGGCTTTAACACTTATGGCAAGCACGTGGACACAGCGGAGAAAACCGGCGGTGCAACTACTCCCAGTCACTTCAGTTAATCCATAACACCCGGGGCTGTCGTGTGACCCTAAAGTGCACCTAGGCTGGTACACGTGTTGTGGTAATATCACTATGTTTTGCTGTCTTTTCTTGGATTTCTGTTTGCACTTAGTCACATTCACTTTAAGATGTTTTTTGTTCATGTTTTTTTTTTGTTGCGGTTGCACCCGTTTCAAGAGCCGAATGGCTCACAGGGCTTTACCTAATAAATAAACTTGATCAATCAATCGTAGATAGTCTATGTATGTGCGTATGTTTGTGCATCTATAGACCTCGGGCTTATACTGGTAGGAACCTCCTGGTAACACCAGCCCACAGGGGATTATTGTGTCCGTCCGTCGTGCAGGGAGGGGCTGGGTGGAGAGGGAGGGGCTGGGTGGGGGGGTGGGGCTGGGTGGGGAGGGGCTGGTCATCCCGTGGAGCCCTTATAAAACTCAACGTTTAACCTACTCACGCCGGCTTATGCCCTCCCTCACAGTCGGGCATATTTGCGGAATACACCACGCCGCCGTTGACCCTGCAGGCCATTGACCGAGCAACCCAACGTTCCTACCGGCTCCCTCCGCAGGAATGTGTTTTTGGTGTTTCCGGCAGGCAAGGCTGCGTTGACTGGGTCACGTAGCCCGCATGCCCAAGCAGCTTCTGTTTGGCCGCAGAGAGGGGGCTAAACGGGCACGGCATGGGCTGGAGAAGAGATGGACTGATGCGGTACGGGAGGATGTGGAGCTGAATGGACTTGCCGACGACTAGTACCAAATCTAGAAGTACCAGCGGTGTCAAGATCGGCCTCTGTGGAGGAGGAGGCTCGTGAAGGACGCTGCTGCTACTGGGCAGTTGGAGGCAGTCGCCCTCCAGCAACAACGGAGGGCGGAGGAGCAAGTGGAGCGCCGTGGGTTGGATCCCGACCCTGACGATGCCTGTAGAAAGTATTTGGAGTCTGTGTGTTATCTCTCCTCGTGGTGGCACATATTTTTATCCAGATCCTCTGGTTTTGCTCTCCAGATTTACAAACATGCATTTAGATTATTTAGCTGCTGCTATACATTCTCAAATGTAATCACAAGCCACTTCCATGAGCTATCTTGTGTGGCAAGGTCGCCTCT